TTTTTCCTATTTTGTTGCATTACAACCTGTAATTTAAATGGATTTTTATTTGGATTTCATGTAATGGACACACAAAATAGTCCAAATTGGTGAAGTGAAAGGAAAAAAATTACTTGTTTCAAAAAGTGGTGCGTGCATATGTATTCACCCTCTTTGCTATGAAGCCCCTAAATAAGATCTGTTGCAACCAATTACCTTCAGAAGTCACATAATTTGTTAAAGTCTACCTGTGTGCAATCTAAGTGTCACAGAGCTCCTCAGCGGAGACTGGAGTATCTGTCCATAGGACCACTTTAAGCCGTACACTCCACAGAGCTGGGCTTTTCGGAAGAGTGACCAGAAAAAAGCCATTGCTTAAAGAAAAAAATAAGCAAACACATTTGGTGTTCGCCAAAAGGCATGTGGGAGACTCCCCAAACATATGGAAGAAGGTACTCTGGTCAGATGAGACTAAAATTGAGCTTTTTGGCCATCAAGGAAAACACTATGTCTGGCGCCAACCCAACACCTCTCATCACCCCGAGAACACCATCCCCACAGTGAAGCATGGTGGTGGCAGCATCATGCTGTGGGGATGTTTTTCATCGGCAGGGACTGAGAAACTGCTCAGAATTGAAGGAATGATGGATGGCGCTAAATACAACTTGCACGCACAAGTTTTCTGTTTTTTTGTCTTATTTCTTGTTTGTTTCACCCAAAAAAAAGATTTTGCATCTTCAAAGTGGAAGGCATATTGTGTAAATCAAATGATACAAACCCTCCAAAAATCCATTTTAATTCCAGGTTGGAAGGCAACTAGTTTTTCAACCACTCCACAAATTTCTTGTTAACAAACTATAGTTTTACTCCACTACATTCCTAAAGAAAATAATGTAATTTTTACTCCATACATTTTTCCTGAAACCCAAAGTACTCGTTACATTTCGAATGCCTAGCAGGACAGCAAATGGTCCAATTCACACAGTTATCAAGAGAACGTCCCTGGTCATCCCTACTGCCTGTGATCTGGCAACTCACTAAACACAAATGCTTCATTTGTAAATTATGTCTGAGTGTTGGAGTGTGCCCCTGGCTATCCATAAATTAAAAAAAGAAGAAAATCGTTGCGTCTAGTTTGCTTAATATAGGGAATGTGAAATGATTTATACTTTTACTTTTACTTTTGATACTTAAGTATATTTTAGCAATTACATTTACTTTTGATACTTAAGTATATTTAAAACCAAATAATTTTAGACTTTTACTCAAGTAGTATTTTACTGGGTGACTTTCACTTTTACTTGAGTCATTTTCTATTAAGGTATCTTTACTTTTACTCAAAAATGACAATTGGGTACTTTTTCCACCACTGGACAGGTGTGTGCCTTTCCAAATCATGTCCGATCAATTGAATTTACAATCAAGTTGTAGAAACATCTCAAGGATGATAAAATGGAAACAGGATGCACCTGAGCTCAATTTCGATTTTCATAGCAAAGGGTCTGAATAGTTATGTAAATAATGTATTTGTTTTTTATTTTTAATACATTCGCAAAGATTTCTAAAACCCTGTTTTCGCTTTGTCATTATTGGGTATTGTGTGTAAAGATTGATTGATTGTATTTAATCCATTTTAGAATAAGGCAGTAATGTAACAAAATGTGGAAAAAGGGAAGGGGTCTGAATACTTTCCGATTGCACTGTATATGGCATCTTTGGGCCATTTAATGTGTTTTCCATTTTAAGCCATCGTTGGGCTGTATGTATCAATTCTTTATGGAGATATGGCCATGTGAATCATGTCCAATAGAGCAGGGGTTCCCAAACTCGGGGCCCCCCTTCCAGCATTGGGGAACATGCCCCCCCCCCCCCCCCCCCCCCCCCCCGCATGCGCCACGGCTATTTATATGGGCACAAGCACTGTTCATGACACAAACTGTTCACACCCTTATTGTTGGTGGAGAGAATTTTGCAGGGTTAAAGCTTATTTCCTGCAATTCTACACATTTTGTCATGGGGTGCAAAGAAAGTTTTGCAGTTTTAAAGATAATTTTCTTACAATTCTATACATTTTGCCATGTCTAATATGTATTCATGTGATATTTGAGTAACAAAAATAGGAAAATGTTAGCTGACATGGGCTAGTTGATCTGGACATTTCTGACAAGTTATAAATAGCTCTCTAAGGTATGCAATGACTGACATGACAAGAGGAACTGATGATGCACTACTACCCATAAAAACTAGCGGTCAAACAGGGAAATGATTCCAATCGTTTTTTCCACCATTCATTTTTAATTTTAGAAACACTTAATAAGGGCTGTGTTTTGTGTAGGCTTACCCTGGCGTGATGTTTACACATGAAAAGCTGAAATGCCAATAAGTATTCAACCCCTTTGTTATGGCCAGCAAAAATAAGTTCATGAGTAAAAATGTGCTAAACAAGTCACATAATAAATTGCATGGACTCTCTCTGTGTGCAATAATAGTGTTTAACATGATTTTTGAATGACTACCTCATCTCTACCACACACATACAATTATCTGTAAGGCCCCTCAGTCGAGCAGTGCATTTCAAACACAGATTCAACTACTAAGGCACTGTATACGTAACAACATTACATTCAATACCACTCAGTCTCACTTCCTGGCTGCTCATAAATTCAGTGGAGGACCGGTTCTCCAACAACTAGGACCATCCCAACCCTCTCTCCCGTTTCCATATGGAATTTTTGGTTTGGCCTGATGTCATTATGACAATGTACGTCATGACTTTGATCGTGTAACAAAACTTCTCTCGATCTGATCTGCCCGAGGCTGAAATAGATAATGTGTCCATCTGTCCTGCTACAGTACCTTCAGAAAGTATTCATACCCTTGATTTATTCCACATTTTGTTGTGTTATAGCTTGAATTCAAAATGGATTAAATAAAAAAAAACTTCTCACACATCTACACACAATACCCCATAATGACAAAGTGAAAACATGTTTTTACAAATGTTTGCAAATTTATTGAAAATGTACATAAGTATTCACACCCCTGAGTCAATACTTTGTAGCTTACACAGAAAGCGGCACAGGTCCTAATCCAGGCACTTGTCATCTCCCATCTGGATTACTGCAACTCGCTGTTGGCTGGGCTCCCTGCCTGTGCCATTAAACCCCTTCAACTTATCCCGCTCAGCCCAGTCAAAGCTATTCGCTGCTCTGGCACCCCAATGGTGGAACAAGCTTCCCCACGATGCCAGGACAGCGGAGTCACTGACCACCTTCCGGAGACACTTGAAACCCTACCTCTTTAAGGAATACCTGGAATAGTATAAAGTAATCCTTCTCCCCCATAAAAAAAAAAAAAAAGGTGGTTGTCCCACTGGCTATCATAAGTTGAATGCACCAATTTGTAAGTCGCTCTGAATAAGAGCGTCTGCTAAATGACGTAAATGTAGAAGCACTTTTTGCAGTGATTACAGCTGTGAGTCTTTCTGGGTAAGTCTCTAAGTGTTTTCCACACCTGGATTGTGCAACGTTTGCCCATTCTTTTTGAAATTCTTCAAGCGCTGTCAAATTGGTTGTTGATTATTGCTAGACAACCATTTTCAGGTCTTGCAATATATTTTCAAGCAGATTTAAATCAAAACTGTAACTAGGCTACTCAGGAACATTCAATGTCGTCTTGGTAAGCAACTCCAGTGTAGATTTAGCCTTGTGTTTTAGGTTATTGTCCTGTTGATAGGTAAATTAATCTCCCAATGTCTGGTGGAAAGCAGACTTAACCAGGTTTTCTTCTATCATTTTGTCTGTGCTTAGCTCCATTCTGTTCATCTTTCATGCTAAAAAACTCCCCAGTCCATAACGATTACAAGCATACCCATAACATGATGCAGCCACCCCTATGATTGAAAATATGGAGAGTGGTACTCAGTAATATGTTGTATTGGGTTTGCTGCAAACATAACACTTTGTATACAAAAAATGAATTGCTTTGCCACATTTCTTGCAATATTACTTTAGTGCCTTGTTGCAAACAGGATGCATGTTTTGGAATATTTGTGTTCTGTACAGGCTTCTTTCTTTTCACTCTGTCAATTAGGTTAGTATTGTAGAGTAACTACAATGTTGTTGATCCATCCTCAGTTTTCTCCTATCACAGCCATTAAACTCTGTAACATCACCGTTGGCATGGTGAAATCCCTGAGCAGTTTCCTTCCTCTCCGACAGCTGAGTTAGGAAGGACGCCTGTATCTTTGTAGTGACTGGGTGTATTGATACACCATCCAAAGTGTAATTAATAACTTCACCATGGTCAAAGGGATATTCAATGTCTGCTTTTCATCCCTTTTTGCGAGGCATTGGAAAACATCCCTGGTCTTTGTGGTTGAATCTGTGTTTGAAATTCACTGCTCTACTGAGTGATCTTACAGATAGTTGTATGTGTGGGGGACAGAGATGAGGTAGTCATTCAAAAATAATGTTAAACACTGTTATTGCACACAGAGTGAGTCCATGCAACTTATGATGTGTCTTGTTAAGCACATTTTTACTTCTGAACTTATTTAGTGTTGCCATAGCAAAGGGGTTGAATACTTTTTGACTCAAGACGTTAGAGCTTGTTATTTGAAATTAATTTGGAAACATTTCGAAAAACATAAGTCCACTTTGACATGATGGGGTATTGTGTGTAGTCCAGTGATAAGAAATCTAAATTTAAACAATTTTAAATTCAGGCTGTGACACAACAAAATGTGGATAAAGTCAAGGGGTGTGAATACTTTCTGAAGGCACTGTATACGTAACAACAACATTGGGTGGTAGGCCTATGTTGATTTGCTCAGTAGTGTCCCTCTTGTAGCTGAGGGATGGCAATCATTGTTTTGGTAGTTTCTCCTCTTATAATTATAGACTTTCTGAATATGCAAATGATAGCAACATTGCAGGAACATTTCTCATGTCTATTCTCCAATGTGGTACGGTAGACTGCTATCTTAATAGTTGGCCTCATGTCTAAACACGTGTTCTTTTGTTTTCAGGCTGCCTGCTGGTTGCGGAGTTGTGGGGCTCCCTGCTGACCCCAACGTCCCTCCGATGAACCCCATGAACTCCATGAAACCTGGCCTGCCTCCTAATCCACACAGGTGTGTACCAACTACCCACCCAGCCAGACAGCCTGCCCATCTCTCCTCCCTCTCCGTTCGATAAGGATGATTCTAAGCTTTGATGTGTTTTGTAGATTGGAAGAATAGCTATGTGACTTTCAGGGCCTGTATTCACGTGTCTCAGAGTAGGAGTGCTGATCTAGGATCAGGTCCCCCCTCTTATTCATTATGATTTAAAACACGAAACTGATCCTTGGTCATACTCTGAGATGCTTTGTGAATACGGGCCCAGAAATACATCCTATCTGTGAATTTCTGTCAAGGAGGCAAGGGAGAGTCGAGATGAACTGACAGATAAAGTGAACTTATTTTGAGGATGGCTGGCTAGACGTGGGAGTTGAGAAAAGAGTGTGACAGTAATGTTTTTATTTGAATGAGAAAGTACACCCACACAAGGCAAAAATATGCCACCACCTTTCACTCCAACGTAGCTTTATTTTAATATAGAAACACTTACTCAACACAGTTTTGTGCTGATATAGCCTTCTAACCCTCACTTCAGTACAGTTTGCCTGGATAGAGGCCTGGGTCTAGCCCAGCAAATCTCTCTCTTCCAGTTGAAATTCCTGTACCACCAACATCAACTTTCTCTAGCAGTTTACCATAGTCACCTCTCAGTCCAACCAAGTTGGATTTTGTTGACAGTATGAAGTAGCAGCTAGCCTTAACAGCTTTCTCAATTGGTCCGTGTGTCTGATGATGATGAAGTAGTATGACCCGGTGTGATCCCTGTCCCTGGCCTTTGTGCTCTGGGTTGAAGTTCCCCCTATGTACAGTTCTAGGATAAGCTTCCCCTCCCCAAATCCTAACCTTAACCATTGGGGAAAATGCTAAACTGACTCAAGATCTGTATCTATGGCCAACTTTAACCTACACCTGCAGTAGCACTTCAGGGAATCATCATTGCACAACATTTGTGCAGAGCCACACGTTCTAATACAGTTTGGACCTTGGATTTGACCAAATTCAGAATGACCTCACCTGAAGTAAACTGTTCAGTGAAGTCACAGAGCGTAGCCCCATCTTACCTGGAGTATGTTGAACATGTAACCTAAAGCAAGGAGACTTTAGTGTTGTTGCTCTCTGGCTGCTGGGTATAACTAGCCTACATACTGTAGTGTAGGGACTTGGGAGCAGTGGCTCTGCTGCAGCAAGGCTGCACACCAAGTTTGCGTCCCCAGCCTGTTCCCTATTTAGTGCACTACTTTTGACCAGGATAGGGAATAGGGTGCCATTTGGTAAATGTGTTGTCACATCCATAGATGTGTGGTGTGCAGCGTGTGAGTCAGTGTGACCTGTGGACAGGTTCTGTGGAGCTCTGAAGAGCTCTGTTGTCTGAGAGTGGAGAGGGGCTCAGAGAAACATGCCACTGTCCTTTGTCCCAGTCAAGGGATCAGGCCCACAGGAAGTAGTTTGCAGGAGGTGCCGTGTTGTGGTGTACATACATGGTTCTTCTCATCTTCATGGTCATTGAAGGTGTCCCACATAGTTCAAGGCCGCCTGTACACACACACACCGCGCACACACGCACTGTACACATGCACACACACACACTACACACACACAACACACACACACATTTACACTCCCAATGGGTTTGTGCAGATGCCTGAGTGTTGTATCTGTGCATCAGGGTTTCTGTTAGGAAAATGTGGCGCCTGACAACATGACTGGGAAGATTTTAATTTACCTGCCATTTGAGAAATTTACCGGACCCATGTGTATTGTGTGTATAACCCATTAGGGCATCCACCCACGGTGCTCAGAATGACAGAAATACCATTTAGATTATGGTAATGCATTTTAACAGAACATGCAACTCGTAATGTCCCCACCTATCTTCCAAAAACATCTGAAACCCTACCTCTTTAAACAGTACAGTGAATTCGGAAAGAGTCAGACCACTTCCCCTTTTTCCACATTTTGTTATGCTACAGCCTTATTCTAAAGTGGATTAAATATTTTTTCCCCCTCATCAATCTACACACAATACCCCTTAATGACAAAGCGAAAACAGGTTTTCAGAAATGTTTGCTAATTTATTACAAATAAAAAACAGACCTTTTGCTATGAGACTCAAAATTGAGCTCAGGTGCATCTTGTTTCCATTGATCATCCTTGAGATGTTTCTACAACTTGATTGGAGTCCACCTATGGTAAATTCAATTGATTGAAAAAGAAAAGGAGAGCCGCACACTCTAGGAGCTCAGATGCAATAATTTAATAACCTAATAACCAACGTTTCGACAGACAAGCTTTCTTCATCAGGGTATAATGACAAACACTGTGGGTCACTTGTTTATATAGTTTCAAAGGACACACAGGTGTCTGTAATCATGGCCAGGTGAGGCTTGATATCATTGGTTAATTTACAGATATAAATAGAAAATATAGAAAACATGAATGGATAGCATACGATCATAGAGACAATTTGGCTACATAGGCCTACAAACATTTACAATGAATAGCAAAATCACAATAATGACAAGAATGGCTTCAGATCAAAATCTATGTTGAGACCGAAGGGAGCAAGGGTCTTTAAATTAAAGATCTGCCTGGATCTCCTTTTCTTTTTTAGGTCTTCTACTCCGCTAGCCAGCACCTAAACAGGTGTGCGTTTCTTTCACCTCCAAATTCAATTGATCGGATATGATTTGGAAAGGCACACACCTGTCTATATAAGGTCCCACAGTTGACAGGGCATATCAGAGTTAAAACCAAGCCATGAGGTCAAAGGAATTGTCCGAAGAGCTCTGAGACAGGATTGTGTCGAGGCACAGATCTGGGGAAGGGTACCAAAACATTTCTGCAGCATTAAAGGTCCCCAAGAACACAGTGGACTCCATCATTCTTAAATGGAAAAAGTTTAGAACCACCAAGACTCTTCCTAGAGCTGGACGCCTGGCCAAACTGAGCAATCGGGGGAGAAAGGCGGGAGAACCTTCCAGAATAACAACCATCTCTGCAGCACAGCACCAATCAGGCCTTTATGGTAGAGTGGCCAGACAGAAGCCACTCCTCAGTAAAAGGCACATGACAGCCCACTTGGAATTTGCCAAAAGGCACCTAAAGGACTCTCAGACCATGAGAAACAAGATTATCTGGTATGATGAAACCAAGATTGAACTCTTTGGCCTGAATGCCAAGAGTCACGTTTGGAGGAAACCTGGCACCATCCCTACGGTGAAGCATGGTGATGGCAGCATCATGCTGTGGGGATGTTTTTCAGCGGCAGGGACTGGGAGACTAGTCAGGATCGAGGGAAAGATGAACGGAGCAAAGTACAGAGAGATCCTTGATGAATACCTGCTCCAGACTAGGGCGAAGGTTCACCTTCCAACAGGACAATGACCCTAAGCAGACAGCCAAGACAACGCAGGAGTGGCTTCGGGACAAGTCTCTGAATGTCCTTGAGTAGCCCAGCCAGAGTCCGGACTTGAACCCATCGAACATCTCTGGAGAGACCTGAAAATAGCTGTGCAGCAACGCTCCCCATCCAACCTGACAGAGTTTGAGAGGATCTGCAGAGAAGAATGGGAGAAACTCTCCAAATACAGGTGTGCCAAGCTTGTAGCGTCCTACCCAAGAAGACTCGAAGATGTAATCGCTGCCAAAGGTGCTTCAACAAAGTACTGAGTAAAGGGTCTGAATAGGAAGGCTGCACACCAAGGTTTCATAACCAATATTTATGTAAATGTCATATTTACGTCTTCTTTTTTGTTTGTTGCAAGAATTTCTGAAAACCTGTTTATGCTGTCGTTATGGGGTATTGTGTGTAGATTGATGAGGGGAAAAAACTATTTTATCCATTTTTGAATAAGGCTAATTTCTGTTAATTAATCCATTAATTACTGTCATTTACCGTTCTCATTCTCGGAGTGGAAAAGTTGTTTGCAGAGTTCACAACCTGCCTCACTTGTGAGAAACATGTTTTGGTTTATTTCATAACCATCATTTACGAGATTTATAAATTTTTTCATTGCCTTTTGTTTGGCGTGCTCAGTGTGAACAATGAGCATGTGTCTGGTTTCTCTGTCCTGATAATGTTGAGGGATCGTGCACGCCTGAGCACGTATAGAAGTACCTGGCCTGCTGCGTGGAAATGTAGGAAAGTGGTTTTTTTAACATCCATTGCGAATTATAATATAATAAAACTATAGTTCTTCACTGTAAGCTATTTGAAAAATCTTTCCAACATTCTCCCCCTCGATAATCACCAATCCTCAGTGTGAAAGAACAATGGAAGTTATAAGCCTACTGCTGCATTGGCCTATACATTGGCATTTTCCCTATTTTGTTGCCTTACAACCTGGAATTGAAAATTGATTTTTTGGGGGTTTGTATCATTTGATTTACACAACATGCCTACCACTTTGAAGATTTTTTTTTTTTTTTTTTTTGTGAAACAAAAAAGAAATAAGACAAAAAAAACAGAACTTGAGCGTGCATAACTATTCACCCCGCCAAAGTCAATACTTTGTAGAGCCACCTTTTGCAGCAATTACAGCTGCAACTCTCTTGGGGTATTTCTCCATAAGCTTGGCACATCTAGCTACTGGGATTTTTTCCCATTCTTCAAGGCAAAACTGCTCCAGCTCCTTCAAGTTGGATGGGTTCCGCTGGTGTACAGCAATCTTTAAGTCATACCACAGATTCTCAATTGGATTGAGGTCTGGGCTTTGACTAGGCCATTCCAAGACATTTAAATGTTTCCCCTTAAACCACTCGAGTGTTGCTTTAGCAGTATGCTTAGGGTCATTGTCCTGCTGGAAGGTGTACCTTTGTCCCAGTCTAAAATCTCTGGAAGACTGAAACAGGTTTCATTCAAGAATTTCCCTGTATTTAGCGCCATCCATCATTCCTTCAATTCTGAGCAGTTTCCCAGTCCCTGCCGATGGAAAAACATCCCCATAGCATGATGCTGCCACCACCATGCTTCACTGTGGGGATGGTGTTCTCGGGTGTGATGAGAGGTGTTGGGTTTGCACCAGACATAGCGTTTTCCTTGATGGCCAAAAAGCTCAATTTTAGTCTCATCTGACCAGAGTACCTTCTTCCATATGTTTGGGGAGTCTCCCACATGCCTTTTGGCGAACACCAAACGTGTTTGCTTATTATTTTCTTTAAGCAATATCTTTTTTCTGGCCACTCTTCCATAAAGCCCAGCTCTGTGTAGTGTACGGCTTAAAGTGGTCCTATGGACAGATACTCCAATTGCCGCTGTGGAGCTTTGCAGCTCCTTCAGGGTTATCTTTGGTCTTTTTGTTGCCTCTCTGATTAATGCACTCCTTGCCTGCTCCGTAAGTTTTGGTGGGAGGCCGTCTCTTGGCAGGTTTGTTGTGGTGCCATGGACTATTTTGTGTATGTCCATTACATGAAATCCAAATAAAAATCCATTTAAATTACAGGTTGTAATGCAACAAAATAGGAAAAGCGGCAATGGGGATGAATACTTTTGCAAGGCACTATAGGCTATGAGTTCCATGCGCTCATTTCTTTATGCGCCATTGGATCATGGCGATCTCGCATTAGTTGACTTTTAACTTTTCGATTTTGATCATTTTAATTCCGATTTTTATGATTAACCATGTGACAATGATTTTGAGAAACTAAAATGTTATTATTTAAATGAAACTGTTCCACGAAAATGCGCATATGAAAATCATAACTGGCACGTAAAACAGTAGAAATGGTAGGTTAATTATAAGCTTTCCCAAACTTGAAACTCACTCGCCGACGAATTCTTTATAAAATAATTGCCTCCACGCTTTATGGTCAGATTTTGCCTATAGGCTACTTTGAAGCAAGGTAAGACATGCCTCATAAAATGAAATAAAACATTCAGGTTTCAAACAATTAAGTATGTCTTCAAAATGCATACTGGCTCTAGCTCACATTGTAAAGTGGTGGGTGACGCGCTGATATCCTGTTGCCTGCACTTGAATAGTGATTGGGAGGCACGCTTCAATTACCTATTGAGAAATAAAAAAAGTATTATTTTTAATCGTTCACCAAAACTGTTTTTAACACATGATTGCCTTTAGAATTGTTGCGCAAAGAATGGGCTTATAAAAGCAGGTTTTACTGTTCCAGCAGCTAACAGCTGAGGAGCTCTGTATGCTGTGCACGTGTGATAGTTGTGTCAATAGACACATGATGACTAACGAAAATACACACAGGCCAATTTCATTTCACTAAATTATGCAAATTACCTATAGACCCATAAGAATCACGGTCAAATGTATTTCTATCGACTGGTATTTCCATCAATGAATATAAGCATAATTTTGCAATGGGATTTTTTAAAGTCTCCCAGTCATTTTGGCCGGCAACAGGCTTTTCATTTTTTTTATCGGCCAAAATAACGGAAACCCTGCTGTGCCTGTGTGGCCACCGTGCCAGACTCAACAAGATGTGCGCTGCAAGGCTGATTATGGAAAGCAAACAGGAATAACTAGAGCAGGCCTGTTTTACCCAGTATGAGTCACACACACACACGTAACTTCTCTCTTGGCACTGCTACTTTTACCCCTATCTAGGTGACGGCTTTATCTCCATGGAGACATGGTGCAGTGTCGTGTGATAATGTGACTGACATGCACAAGGCAAATCCACTAAGTAAAGCACAGGCAGCACACATGCTCAGCAGAGATTTTAAATATGAACGGGCTATAGCAAAGCCAGAATCTTCAGGCATGCATGTTGCTTACATGTATAAATACATTTCCATATTTCTCTCCTGACAAAGCAAAGCTCCAGCATCAGCTCAAAGCTCCGACTTATCCACCTTATCCCATAGTTGAGGTCCCCGAAGCGCCATAGAGGAAGTGTTGGTCACGACCCAATTCTCCAGTCAGTAATCTCTCTCTGTCTCTCCTCCTCCTCAGTGACGGCTCCTACCCTTATGACCCTGTGTCCTGGCAGCAAGGCAGCAATCAGCCGGCAGGCTCCCTGTCTGTGGTAACCACAGTGTGGGGGGTGACCAATCCTTCACCCAGCCAGGTATGGATAGACCCGTGACCCCATGAAAGCAAACATTAAGGCTGCGTCCCAAATGGCACCCTATTCCCTATGTAGTGCACTACTTTTGACCAGGACCCATTTGGGACGCTACCTACAGCTGCGATACAATGTCACCCTCCCTTCCCTTCCTCCACAGGCGATAGATCAACATTCCAAAGTACAAGTATCATCGCGGTGCGATATTAGAACTAGGTTGATAGTGATTCACCTCGTAACGCTCCTCTGTTTGTTTCTCCTCCCCCTCTCAGGTCCTGGGTGGGAACCCGATGGGCCCAGGTGGGAACTCTGGCGGGGGCAACATGATGCCTGGCCACAGCCCTGGGATGGGCCAGCAGTTTATTGGTCAACAGGGCTACCCGGAGCCCAACAAAGGCTACATGCAGCAGGGCATGTACGGCAGGGGCAATGGGGGATACCCTGCCGGGCCTGGCTACGTGGGCAGGTAAGCGTCAGACAGACAGATATAGCCCAGGCCCAGGCCACATGTTTTTACCTCCGCTCATTCATGTGGAATTACCTCGTGGAGAAGGAGAGGAGAGATTTGGAGGCAAAGATTAAGTGAGTCAACATCTTGACCACACACACATGCCCGTGTTGGCAATATGCCTCTGCCAACTCCAGTATGTGAAGGCTGGATAGTGTCAGAGCTCCTCATCCATCTTCCTTTGCTGCAACCGTTTCCTTTTAGTGAGACCTGTCTCTGACTCACCCATTGACAGCAGCATCCTTTTGCCATCCCCTCTCATACCATTGTAGATTCAGTCGACTAGTAGGCTATTTAATCCTGAATAGACTAAATTGTTAAACATTCAGGGTGACACTAGTGGTTAAGAGCGTTGTGCCAGTAACAGAAAGGTCGCTGGTTCTAATCCTCAAGCCGACTAGGTGAAAAATCTGCCGATGTGCCCTTGAGCAAGGCACTTAACCCTAATTGCTCCTGTAAGTCGCTCTGGATAAGAGCGTCTGCTAAATGACAAAAATAAATAAATAAATACAAATAATCTCTATGCACCATTCGTTTTTGAATAGCTGGAACTATTCCCTCCGAGCACAAGGGACAAGAGTCCAAACCAAAACAGAATGAATTAGCTGTCAGACATGTTGTATAGTAGTCCTCCTTTAGTCTTTGTATAGTAGCAATGAGGATGATGGTTTCTGGTTATACGGAACAGTTACTGTTTTACAGGGAGAAAATGTACCTGTGTGTGAAATACTGGAGACACACACTATTTTCAGATTGGTTTATTTTGAAACAACCATTTCTCTGCCGCCTCAGTTACCCCAATAACGGAGGGGGGTCTATGGGCATGCCCCCTCACGGCATCCGCCCTCAAACCGACTTCACCCAGGCGGCGGCGGCAGCTGTGGCCGCAGCGGCTGCCACAGCAACGGCCACAGCCACGGCAACGGTTGCTGCTATCCAGGAGAAGCAGAACCAGGAGATGAACTATGGCCAGGTAAGGAAGGAGGGATGGAGGGAGGGAGGGAGAGCAAGGTAGTACATGCTCTAGAGTTAATTTTTCCATAGGTATAGATCTAGGATCAGCTTGCCTTCTCCCAAATCCTAACCTTAACCATTAGAGGGGAAAATGCAAAACTGACCCAAGATTAGTATCTAGGGGCAACTTAATCCTACTCTGCTATTGTAATACTATTGTCTCAGGATGACCACAAGCCAGGGGTTGAGACGTAAAAGCCTTATGGGAGTTGCCTGTCAGACTCATGTATTGTGTTGAAACATCCAACCAAAATGGTGGCCTCTGTGGGTCTGAGTGGATACTGCACCCCCTGCTGGCTGTAGGAGTGAGTGTCTTATGAGCAACACCGCTCAAATGGACTGTATTTATACGTTATTATAACCACGTAAACCAGGGAAAACAGAGAACATCAAAGAGACTTCTGTTTGCTTTATCTCATCTGCCATGTCACGCCCACACTAACCTAGAGGACTTTTCAGATGGGCGGCGGCGCGGGCTACAACACACAGTTCATGCAACACCCGGGCCCCAGAGGTCCCCCTGGCATGTCCCCGGCAGGGATGGGTCCCGCTCGTCCCCCGTCCATGGGGCCCATGTACGGAGCCCCTCAGGGCCAGAGGATGCCCCAGCACCCGGGCTACCCCGGGGCTCAGCAGGGACCCCCCAGGCCGCAGCAGGGACTCAAACGCCCATACAACGCTGAGGTTCGTCTCTCCCGGCGAATTACTTCACATACTTTCTAATGCAAACCATTTGTAGACTGATAGCCATAAATTGGAAATATACAGTGTGAATTATAATACTATGTTAACACCTACATACATCCATAATCATATTTCATTTAATTTGATTAAGCTTGATCTTGATATGTAGTTGTTTTTGGTTACACTGTCCAACTTCACCAAAATGGGCCATTTTCTTATAGTAGTCCCTTCACATTTTAGCAAGTTAACGCCTCTAATAAATGCTGGGTATCAAAGTGTAATTTCGCCAGCTTAAAACTCAAGTAAGCTCAACTTCCTTATTTGGTGAGGTCATTCTCTGTAACATTATAGCTTTCATTTCGTTGTATCCCCATCATACCAGAAATATAATTGTGTGCCCAGTTTTGTTTTGAGGTCAACACATATCTCTGTTCCATTTTGCCCCCTCTGTGTCTCTCCCTCAGGGCTTTCCCGGGCAGCAGTATGGTCCAGGCATGGCTGGCCCTGCTCCTGGTCAGGGGCCCTACCCTGGGCAGCCCATGCAGTACCACGGGGGCCCGGGGCCCCAGCGCTCAGCTACCTCCCCCTCCTACCAAGGCCACAAAATGCCCATGCAGCAGGGCAACATGGGCCAGTACCCCTCGGGACCAGCCCACCCAGGACAGTACTACAAGGTAACGCTTCCTACGCTGTCCAGTGTCTGTCTGTCTGTTTCACAGCCTGGTGGCCTGTGCTGTTTTCACACCCTCCTTCCCATGTGTGTGTATGCCCTGGCTGGCTACTGTAATAATACCCAAACTAGAGTCCAGAGTACAAACCAGTGTTTTGCGATTTGCCTTTCAGTCGGAGCAGTTCAACGGGCAGGGCAACACGCTAAATTCACTAGCAGCCGGGGGAGTCGGTGGACCTTACAACACCTTCAACCAGGCTGCAGTCAATGGGGTGAGAGAGAGAGAACTCATTCTACCTTCATTATGTTTTTGTGTAACATGGTCCCAGATCTGTTTGTGCTCTCTTGCCAATGGCCATAGGAGTTGGCAAGACGGCACAAACAGATTTGGGACTAGGCTTGTCTTTGTGTGTGGAGATGTAGACCTACGTTGCCTCTGAAAGGCAACATCTCAAAGCACAGCACATTGCTGGTATTTTTAGTCCTCCGAGTACAGCAACCTAACCCTACTCTTGTTCTCTTTGTGTCCCAGCCGGGCAGGGCGATGCCTGGTTATCCAAGCTCTCCCCTTCCTGGAAACCCCACCCCACCCATAACCCCGGGCAGTGCGGTGCCCCCCTACATGTCTCCTGGCCATGACGTCAAGCCCTCTTTTCTGCCTGACATCAAGCCAAACATGAACTCCCTACCCCCACCACCCCCCACAGGTAAACCCAAACATGACACACTCACACACAGAATATGCTTTTGAAATCCCCTGTCTCTCAGTAGCTAGGCTTCCATCCAATTGGGGACAGATTTTCATGCGAATATTCAAAAATCTGCATAAAGAAAATAGGTACATTTTCCCACCAGTGGTGTGTTTCCACCAAACGGACTTATTGGAGATAAAAATCAGTGCTGATGACGTAGTGCACTCAAAATGTACCTTTTTGCGTATGTTCTATGTGTTGTCACAAAAACTGTTGCATTAAATAGAAGATGTGCCTACTATGGTCTTGTTACGTGTACTTTAGCCAGCAGCTCGCAGATACAGGGTAATGGCTAGAAGTGATCTAGCTTTTGTCGACTCACCGTCAGATTTGACTTTTCGTAGCAGGTTAGGAGAATTTACGCAGCAGGTTATAATAATTAGGTAAAGGTTAGGAAAATGATTAGGGTTTGCTCAAATAAAAAAAAAAAAAACTTTTGACGTTAATTTGACAATAACTGGATCCCATCTAGCCATGGCTCAGATACAGTGCGGGTAGGCTAGTTTACATGATGAGATTATGGATATTTTTCAAAACGGCAGTCAACCATCGATCATCATGTCACCAGAATAAGACCCTCGACATTTATTGGAGAGGAGCATCAAGCTCATACCATGCACTTTCTCCACCCTGTGAAGTTCATCATAACTTACTTAATCTGTAGCCTAATTTAAACTGCATGGTTTCCCGAGTCGTAGTGGGAGGACCACACACCATGTCGTCGCGTGACTCCAAGTTTACTTCAATATGATGGTTATTATATCAATATTAGCACATCAATGCGTTTCCACTGCCATTTCTCGCATAATTAATTTTACAGACACAAAAAGGTCCCACCATGTCAAACTAACAAATTATCTGTCGGTATTTATACAATTGTACTGAAACTTCCTGTTTCCATCACAACTGTCGTGATTAATTTTTATATGGTATGACATTACTCGCATAAAAACTGTGGATGGAAGCGTGGTTAGTGTAGTCTTTGGTTTCACCGTTTATCTGCATTTACGCAAGTAATGCTCGGTGCCTCCAGAAAACAGAGAAACCAGTGTTGTGTGTGTTTGGACGGTCTAACAACGAGACATGGTGGCTGATTGATTGCGCCTGGCCTCGCTCAACAGGTAACCCCAGCGACGACCTGCGGCTGACCTTCCCCGTACGAGACGGCGTGGTGCTGGAACCCTTCCGCCTGGAGCACAACCTGGCCGTCAGCAACCACGTCTTCCAGCTGCGCGACTCCGTCTACAAGACCCTCATGATGAGGTCCGAGCTCTGCTGCTCTTCATGTTATATACTGCTATGCTATACTATATTATACTATACCATGCTATACTATAATATACTGTACTGTGCTATACTATATTATACTATACCATGCTATACTATAATATACTGTACTGTGCTATACTATATTATACTATACCATGCTATACTCTAATATAATGTACTGTGCTATACTATATTATACTATACCATGCTATACTATAATATACTGTACTGTGCTATACTATATTATACTATACCATGCTATACTATAATATACTGTACTGTGCTATACTATATTATACTATACCATGCTATACTATAATATACTGTACTGTGCTATACTATACCATGCTATACTATACTATAGTAGGCTATACTACTATATTGCTTTTGTAGATTATTTGGCTCGTGTGTGTACCGTACGCAGGCCGGACTTGGAGCTCCAATTTAAGTGTTACCACCACGAGGACCGTCAGATGAACACCAACTGGCCAGCGTCGGTGCAGGTGAGCGTCAACGCCACGCCCCTCACCATCCAGCGCGGTGACAACAAGACTTCCCACAAGCCCCTGTACCTGAAGCAAGTGTGCCAGCCTGGCAGGAACACCATCCAGATCACTGTCACCGCCTGCTGTTGTGTAAGTGGCCTGCAGCGCGCACACACACACACACACACACACTCTCTGTTGAATGGAGTCTCACCATTGTAACCAACTCTTCTGCAAGTGTCATGTCACAGTTCAAATTGAGGCACAGTCAAACCTGTAGCCCTCTATGTAGAGACAAGTGTTCACTATTGCACTGAACATCTCTAATCCTAAATATCTCTTTCGCTGTCTCTTTCCTTCTCTCAACCCCTCGTCCTCTCTACCTGCAGTCGCACCTGTTTGTGCTCCAGCTGGTTCACAGGCCGTCAGTGCGCTCGGTGCTGCAGGGCTTGATGAAGAAGAGGCTGTTGCCAGCGGAGCACTGTGTCACTAAGAGTGAGTGGAGCATTTATTTAATCTTTAATTTACCAGGAAAATCCCATTGAGATATAAAATCTATTTTAAAAGGGAAACCTCGCATTGGAACTAGGACTACCACTGGTACCACCATTTGCCATTCTCAGTTGTCTCAAATCTATTGCAAAGTCTGAACAAGCTTTTAGTAGTATACAGTCCATTCGGAAAGTATAAAGACCCCTTGACTTTTTCCACAATTTGTTACGTTACAGACTTAATCTAAAATTGATTAAATAGTTTTTTTCCTTCATCAATCTACACACAATACCCATAACGACAAAGCAAAAACATGTTTTTTGAAATTGCAAATGTAATAAAAAACTGATATCACATAAGTATTCAGACCCTTTACTCAGTACTTTGTTGAAGCACCTTTGGCAGCGATTACAGCCTCGAGTCTTCTTGGGTATGACGCTACAAGCTTGGCACACCTGTATTTAGGGAGTTTCTCCCATTCTTCTCTGCAAATCCTCTCAACCTCTGTCAGCTTCAGGCTCTGGGCCACTCAAGGACATTCAGAGACTTGTCCCGAAGCCACTCCTGCGTTGTGTTGGCTGTGTGCTTAGTGTCATTGTCTTGTTGGAAGGTGAACCTTTGCCCCAGTCTGAGGTCCTGAGCGCTCTGGAGCAATCTCTCTGTACTTTGCTCCGTTCATCTTTCCCTCGATCCTGACTAGTCTCCCAGTCCCTGCTGCTGAAAAACACAACCAGAGCATGATGCTGCCACCACCATACTTCACCGTAGCAATGGTGCAAGGTTTCCTTCAGACGTGACTCTTGGCATTCAGGCCAAATAGTTCAATCTTGGTTTCATCAGACCAGAGAATCTTGTTTCTCATGGTCTGAGAGTCCTTTAGGTGCCTTTTGGCAAACTCCAAGCGGACTGTCATGTGCCTTTTTACTGAGGAGTGGCTTCCGTCTGGCCACTACCATAAAGGCCTGATTGGTGGAGTGCTGCAGAGATGGTTGTCCTTCTGGAAGGTTCTCCCATCTCCACAGAGGAACTCTGGAGCTCTGTCAGAGTGACCATTGGGTTCTTGGTCACCTCCCTGACCAAGGCCCTTCTCCCCCGATTGCTCAGTTTGGCCGTGCGGCCAGCTTTAGGAAGAGTCTTGGTGGTTCAAAACTTCTTCCATTTAAGAATGATGGCCACTGTGTTCTTGGGGACCTTCAATGCTGCCGAAACGTTTTGGTACCCTTCCCCAGATTTATGCCTCGACACAATGCTGTCTAGGAGCTCTACGGACAATTCCTTCGACCTCATGGCTTGGTTTTTGCTCTGACATGCACTGTCAACTGTGCAACCTTATATAGACAGGTGTGTGCCTTTCCAAATCATGTCCAATCAATTGAATTTACCACAGGTGGACTCCAATCAAGTTGTAGAAACATCTCAAGGATGATCAATGGAAACAGGATGAACCTGAGCTCAATTTCGAGTCTCATAGCAAAGGGTCTGAATACTTATGTACAGAATTATTAATACATTTACCAGAAATTATAAAAACCTGTTTCGCCATTTTGGGGTATTGTGTGTAGATTGATGAGGAAAAAATGTATTTAATCAATTTTAGAATAAGGCTGTAACGTAACAAAATTTGGAGAAAGGGGTCTGAATACTTTCCGAATGCACTTTTAGTAGTATTTAGTAGCCATTTAGCAGATGCTTTTATCCAAAGCTAATAACAGTAGTGCGTGCATAAATATTCATATTGGTGGCCCCAGCGGGAATCAAACCCACAATCCTGACATCGCAGGCACCATGCTTTACCAGCTGAGCGACATAGCCTTTGTGAAACCTGTGCATTCATTTCTCCATCCCTTTTACGCTACCGTCCCATGATAAGGCACTGAGTACTACGGGCATCATAGCATTAGCATTACATCCTGTGACTCTAGAATGGGGACTTCACTCACCACATGGCCTATAGGTCTCTAAAGCCCTGTTCACACTGCACTTAGCTAAGGGAGCTTTTAGCCTGGGGCTAAGAGAGTGTTCACACTTGCATATTATAAAGTGGGCTAGCACCAACCTTAGCCCAGGTCTAGCCAATCAGATTTCCATTCAAATCAAATCAAATGTTATTTGCCACATCACCGAAAACAACATGTGTAGACCTTACAGTGAAATGCTTACTTACAAACCCTTAACCAACAATGCAGTTTTAAGAAAGAATACCAAAAAAAATGCAAATAGTCTGGGTAGCCATTTGATTAGATGTTCAGGAGTCTTATGGCTTGGGGGTAGAAGCTGTTTAGAAGCCTCTTGGACCTAGACTTGGTGCTCCGGTACCACTTGCCATGCGGTAGCACAGAGAACAGTCTATTACTAGGGTGGCTGGAGTCTTTGACAATTTTTAGGGCCTTCCTCTGACACCACCTGGTATAGAGGTCCTGGATGGCAGGAAGCTTGGCCCCAGTGATGTACTGGGCCGTACGCACTACCCTCTGTAGTGGCTTGCGGTCTGATGCCGAGCAGTTGCCATACCAGGCAGTGATGCAACCAGGCAGGATGCTCTTGATGGTGCAGCTGTAGAACCTTTTGAGGATCTGAGGACCCATGCCAAATCTTTTCAGTCTCCTTAGGGGGAATAGGTTTTGTCGTGCCCTCTTCACGACTGTCTTGGTGTGCTTGGACCATGTTAGTTTGTTGGTGATGTGGACACCAAGGAACTTAAAGCTCTCAACCTGCTCCACTACAGCCCCGTCGATGAGAATGGGGGCGTGCTCTGTCCTCTTCTTTTTCCTGTAGTCCACAATCATCTCCTTTGTCTTGATCACTTTGAGGGAGAGGTTGTTGTCCTGGCACCACATGGCCAGGTCTCTGACCTCCTCCCTATAGGCTGTCTCGTCGTTGTCGGTGATCAGGCCTACTACTGTTGTGTCATCGGCAAACTTAATGATGGTGTTGGAGTCGTGCCTCGGCATGCAGTCATGAGTGGACAGGGAGTACAGGATGGGACTGAGCACGCACCCCTGAGGGGCCCCCGTGTTGAGGATCAGTGTGGCGGATGTGTTGTTACCTATCCTTACCACCTGGGCGCGGCCCGTCAGGAAGTCCAGGATCCAGTTGCAGAGGGAGGTGTTTAGTCCCAGGGTCCTTAGCTTAGTGATGAGCTTTGAGGGCACTATGGTGTTTAACGCTGAGCTGTAGTCAATTAATAGCATTCTCACATAGTTGTTCCTTTTGTCCAGGTGTGAAAGGGCAGTGTGGAGCGCAATAGAGATTGCATAATCTGTGGATCTGTTGGGGCGGTATGCAAATTGGAGTGGGTCTAGGGTTTCTGGGATAATGGTGTTGATGTGAGCAATGGACCAGCCTTTCAAAGCACTTCATGGCTACACACGTACGTGCTACGGGTCAGTAGTCATTTAGGCAGGTTACCTTAGTGTTCTTGGGCACAGGGACTATGGTGGTCTGCTTGAAACATGTTGGTATTACAGACTCGGACAGGGAGAGGTGGAAAATGTCAGTGAAGACACTTGCCAGTTGGTCAGCGCATGCTTGGATTACACGTCCTGGTAATCCGTCTGGCCCTGCGGCCTTGTGAATGTTGACCTGTTTAAAGGTCTTACTCACATCGGCTACAGAGAGCGTGATCACACAGTCGTCTGGAACAGCTGATGCTCTCATGCATGTTTCAGTGTTACTTGCATCGAAGCGAGCATAGAAGTAATTTAGCTCATCTGGTAGGCTCGTGTCACTGGGCAGCTCACGGCTGTGCTTCCCTTTGTAGTCTGTAATAGTTTGCAAGCCCTGCCACATCGGATGAGCGTCGTAGCCGGTGTAGTACGATTCGATCTTAGTCGTGTATTGACGCTTTGCCTGTTGGTTCGTCGGAGGGCATAGCGGGATTTCTTATAAGCGTCCGGGTTAGAGTCCCGCTCCTTGAAAGTGGCAGCTCTATCCTTTAGCTCAGTGCGGATATTGCCTGTAATCCATGGCTTCTGGTTGAGGTATGTACGTACAGTCACTGTGGGGACGACGTCATCGATGCACTTATTGATGAAGCCAGTGACTGATGTGGTGTACTCTTCAATGCCATTGGAAGAATCCCGGAACATATTCCAGTCTGTGCTAGCAAAACAGTCCTGTAGCTTAGCATCTGCTTCATCTGACCACTTTTTTTATTGACCAAGTCACTGGTGCTTCCTGCTATAGTTTTTGCTTGTAAGCAGGAATCAGGAGGATAGAATTATGGCCAGATTTGCCAAATGGAGGGCGAGGGAGAGCTTTGTACGCGTCTCTGTGTGTGGAGTAAAGGTGGTCTAGAGTTTTTTTTCCTCTGGTTGCACATTTAACATGCTGGTAGAAATGAGGTAAAACGGATGTAAGTTTCCCTGCATTAAATCCCCGGCCACTAGGAGCGCTGCCTCTGGATGAGCGTTTTCCTGTTTGCTTATTGCCGTATACAGTTCATTGAGTGCAGTCTTAGTGCCAGCATCGGTTTGTGGTGATAAATAGACAGCTACGAAGAATATAGATGAAAACTCTCTTGGTAGATAGTGTGGTCTACACCTCAGGCTAGAAAAACATCAACACCTTCCTTAGATATCGTGCACCAGCTGTTGTTTACAAATATACATAGACCGCCACCCCTTGTCTTACCAGAGGCTGCTGTTCTATCCTGCCGATACAGTGTATAACCCGACAGCTTTATGTTATTCATGTCTTCGTTCAGCCACGACTTGAAACATAAGATATTACAGTTTTTAATGTCCCATTGGTAGGATATACGTGCTTGTAGTTCGTCCACTTTATTATCAAGTGATTGTAAATTGGCCAATGGTATCTATGGCAAAGGCAGATTAGCCACTCGTTGCCGGCTCCTTACCAGGCTCCCCGATCTTCTTCCGCGATATCTCCTTTTCTTTCTACTGCGAATGACGGGGATGAGGGCCCTGTCGGGGGTCTGGAGCAAATCCCTCTCGTCCGACTCATTAAAGAACAATTATTTGTCCAGTTCAAGGTGAGTAATCGCTGTTCTGATGTCCAGAAGCTCTTTTCGGTCGTAAGAGACGGTAGCAGCAACATTATGTACAAAATAAGTTATAAACGGCAGCCATCCCCTCCGGCGCCATTGAATATTCTACTCCAGAAAAGTGACAGTTGCTTTCAGTTAACCCTGCTTGTGTGAACACAGGCTAAGTTAACAAAGGGCCATTCTTAGCATGAGGCTAAGGATAGCCCAGGGCTAAGAAAAATGCAGTGTGAAAAGGCCTTAAATTCACTCTCTCCCCCGCTCCCCACTGCAGTCAAGAGGAACTTCAGCAGTGGCACCATCCCAGGGACGCCGGGGCTGAATGGAGAGGACGGGGTGGAGCAGACAGGTATCAGGGTATCCCTCAAGTGCCCCATCACCTTCCGCCGCATCCAGCTGCCAGCGCGGGGCCATGACTGCAGACACATACAGGTCAGTACTCCTCGCCAGTACCACACCGCTCAGCTTCACTAACACTGCTCCCTCCGGGTGGAAGAAAACACAGTGCTGCATCTGAAATGGCACCCTATTCCCTAAATAGTGCACTACTTGTAGGGCACTATATAGGGAATAGGGTGTCACTTCAGACGTAGCCAGTGTTGATCCCCCACCTCTTCCCTGGAGATAGGCTATACAACGCTTGAGTGCCAAGGAAGTCACATGTCAGAGCTCTATACACATGTGAGGGTGAGGAGTTGTGAAAGGCGGATCAATGTTATGTTTCTGTATCAGGATGTTGTTGAATTTTCCGCTAAACCTACTATCTCTCTCTACCTGGTTTCAGTGTTTCGACCTGGAGTCCTACCTGCAGCTGAACTGTGAGAGGGGGACCTGGCGCTGTCCTGTGTGCAAGTACGTTAGAATAGTAGACTACTACATAACTCCCTTGCACGGTTCAAATAGATTGAAGCTCACTACTATGTCCTAAATAGATTGAAGCTCACTACTATGTTTACATTTACATTTACATTTAAGTCATTTAGCAGACGCTCTTATCCAGAGCGACTTACAGTTAGTGAATACATTATTATAAAAAAAATGTATACTGGCCCCCCGTGGGAATCGAACCCACAACCCTGGCGTTGCAAACGCCATGCTCTATCAACTGAGCTACATCCCTGCCGGCCATTCCCTCCCCTACCCTGGACGACGCTGGGCCAATTCGAACCAGGATCTCTAGTGGCACAGTTAGCACTGCGATGCAGTGCCTTAGACCATGTCCTAAATAGATTGAAGCTCACTACTATGTCCTTTCCCCCTTGCAGTAAGACGGCTCTACTGGAGGGTCTAGAGGTGGACCAGTACATGCTGGGGATCCTCATCTACATTCATAAGTAAGAACCAACTCCTGCATGTCATGCTGACTTGTACCTGATTCTGCTTTATATTCTTCCCCCCATATTCCTCTCCCATTCTCTATTATTTCCCCCCTCCCAACCTCCTCACCAATATATCTCTCACAAAACCCACACCACAGTTACGTCCTGAATGGCAGCCTATTCCCTATATGGTGCACTACTTTTGTCCAGAGACCTATCTGGTCAAAAGTAGTGCACCATATAGGGAATATGGTGCTATTTAATCTGCAGCCACGTATCTAAAACGTTCACCTCTGAATTGTACACGCACGCAGCTCGGAGTATGAGGAGATTACCATTGACCCGGTGTGCAGCTGGAAACCCGTTCCCATCAAACCCGACCTTCACATCAAAGAAGAGCCGGACGGTCCGGCACTGAAGCGCTGCCGCACCCTGAGCCCCAGTCACATGATCTTGCCCAGTGTCATGGAGATGATCGCCTCCCTGGGCCCAGCCTCATCGCCCTACCCCTCCATGCCAGCAGGGGGAAACGGCAGTACTCCGGACTACCCCAGCCAAGGTAGACTGACTAGCTCCTCTCATGCGGTAGGGAAGCGTGGTGTCCTTTTCACTTCCATATCCACTTTTTTAAAGTATTTTTTTTAATGGACTTCAAGAGTAGCCTGAAATCGAGAACCTGTTTTGTGCTAACATTCCACTCCTTGGACTCTGTGTCACTGCCAAACGTGTATGGCATTAAAAGGAGTAGAAAGACAGCACAAACAGAATGGTATAGGGGAGAGTTGGGTCAGTCGAGCCAAAGGGTTAGTTGAGCCACCCCTTGTTTCTAGAAAACTATACATAAAATGTATTATGTGACCAAATATCATCAATGTGACCAATATCATCAAATCAAAATGTATTTGTCACATGCGCCGAATACAACAGGTGTAGACTTTACCGTGAAATGCTTACTTAGGAAGCCTTTCCCAACAATGCAGTTAAAAGTAATACAAATTTGCTAAATAATAGAAATTGTAACACAATAAAATAACAATAACGAGGCTATATACAAGGAGTCCCGGTACTGAGTCAATGTGCAGGGGTATGAGGTAGTTGAGTTAATTGAGGTAATATGTGCATGTAGGTAGGGGTAAAAGTGATCCTTTCATGGAATCTGTGAAGAAAGAAACCACATGGAAAAAGTGGTAAGCAAATGAGGTGCTTGTATCTAAACCAAAGTGGTAAGCAAATCATGATGCTTGTATCTAAACCAAAGTATATTGTTTTTCTTTACACCAGTTGGGGTCTTTATGAGTTTCAGTATGAGATCCTTAACCTATCATGAAAGTGCATCCTTGTAGCTGTGTGTAGGCTAATATAGTCAAAATGGTTGCTGTGGGGTAAATTGAGCCATTTGTCCAGGTGCAAGTTCAGCCAATGGATGATCCAATGGCAAGTTAAGCAAATTGTTGCAAAGTGTTTTCTTCCCAGACGTAAGGCATGGTATTATCGCCGGAATATGAGGTAACTCCAGGGCCTGGCCTATGTTAAAAGTGTTTTAAAAAAGTACAAAGTGTTTGTTAGTTGTTAAGCGTATGTTAAGTGTTAAATCTGTGTTAAAAGGTGCTTAAAATGATTAAAATAAAAGTGATTGTGTTTGGGGAAAAAATATGGACATTTTCTAGGTTTCCATCCAATTGGCGACAGATTTAAATGCGAATAATCTCAAATCTGCATAAAAACATGTGCGTTTTCCCTCCAGAGATGTTTGACTTGTTGCGGATAAAATGCTGTGCGTGATGACGTAGTGCGTATAAAAATAACTTTTGCGGTTAAATTCCCATGTACCGAATAAATAATACAAGTTAAATGGGTTTCCATTGCATTTTCAACTCTACTGATGGTTTTGTCACAAAAAATGCTGCGTTATATAGCGAATGTGCCCCTCTGGTCTAGCCAACAGCTAGCAGATACAGTGTGGGTAGGCTACCTACATAATGAGATTATTATGGACAAAAGAGCTAGATTATTTTTATTTGTCAAACGGTAGCCAAGCGTCAGTCATCATGTCACCAGATTAAGACCCTAAATATAGATTTATTGGAAAGGAGTAGCAAGCTCATCACTGTGCACTTTCAACACCCTCTGAAGTTAATCATAAATGATTTGATCTGTAGCCTTATAAACTGTATGCTTTCCCGAGTTGTAGTGGTAGGATCACAATATATCATCGCGTGACTCCCAAGTTTACTTCGGTATGATGGTTATTATATCAATATTTGTTCATAAAGGCATTTCCACCGCCATTTCTCGCATAATTAATTTTACAGACACAAAAAGATCCCACCTTGTCTAGCGTATTTTGTTTTGTCGACATTTGGAAAGTTTACTCACAAATGTTCTGTTTCCATCTGGTCTGTCGTGACATTTTTTTATCAGACTTTACTCGCATAAAAAGGTTGGATGGAAAACTAGGTTATGGTTTTAAAAAAGATTAATGATAATATTTCAACCAGTACAGACATTTGTAGGCAGCTCAAGTTACACTGTCCCTATACTCAAATTACCCCATACCCAGGGTACGTTCTGCCAAGAGTCCACTTTTTTAGGACAAGCTATGTTTTCAAAACTGTTATGTTTACATTAATTCTGATTATTTCCAGGGATACACAACATCCTGAAAGATATTTCCTGAAATATATTTATTTGTTAGAAAGAATATTACATTTCAAGAATATTACATTTACAAGAATATTACATTTCCCTTGACGTAATGATGCTACGTTACAGCCTTATTCTAAAATGGATTAAATAAATAAATCTCAGCAATCTACTAACAATACCCCATAATGACAAAGCGAAAACATGGGCGGCAGGTAGCTTAGTGGTTAAGAGCGTTGTGCCAGTAACCGAAAGGTCGCTGGTTCTAATCCCCGAGCCGACTAGGTGAAAAATCTGTCGATGTGCCCTTGAGCAAGGCACTTAACCCTAATTGCTCATGTAAGTCGCTCTGGATAAGAGCGTCTGCTAAATGACAAAAAAAAAAAAATAATAATAAGTATTCAGACCCTTTGCTATTAGACTCGAAATTGAGCTCAGGTTCATCCTGTTTCCATTTATCATCCTTGAGATGTTTCTGCAAATTGATTAGAGTCCACCTGTGGTAAATTCAATTGATTGGACGTCTATATAAAGGTCCCACAGTTGACAGTGCATTTCAGAGCAAAAACCAAGCCATGAGGTTGAAGGAATTGTCCGTAGAGCTCCGAGACAGGATTGTGTCGAGGCACAGATCTGGGGAAGTGTACCAAAACATTTCTGCAGCATTGAAGGCCCCCAAGAACACAGTGGCCTCCATCATTCTTAAATGGAAGAAGTTTGGAACCACCAGGGAGGTGACCAAGAACTAGATGGTCACTCTTACAGAGCTCTAGAGTTCCTCTGTGGAGATGGGAGAAACTTCCAGAAGAACAACCATCTCTGCAGCACTCCACCAATCAGGTCTTTATGGTAGAGTGGCCAGACGGAAGCCACTCCTCAGTAAAAGGCACATTACAGCCTGCTTGGAGTTTGCCAAAAGGCACCTGAAGACTCTCAGACCATGAGAAACATGATTATCTGGTCTGATGAAACCAAGATTGAACTTTTTGGCCTGAATGCCAAGCGTCACGTCTGGAGGAAACCTGACACCATCCCTACAGTGAAGCATGGTGGTGGCAGCATCATGCTATGGGGATGTTTTTCAGCGGCAGGGACTGGGAGACTAGTCAGGATCGAGGCAAAGGTGAACGGAGCAAAGTACAGAGATCCTTGATGAAAACCTGCTCCAGAGCGATCAGGACCTCAGACTGGGGTGAAGGTTCACCTTCCAACAGGACAACAACCCTAAGCACACAGCCAAGACAACGCAGGAGTGACTTCGGGACAAGTCTCTGAATGTCCTTGAGTGGCCCAGCCAGAGCCTGGACTTGAACCCGATCGAACATCTCTGGAGAGACCTGAAATTAGCTGTGCAGCAACGCTCCCCATCCAACCTGACAGAGCTTGAGAGGATCTGCAGAGAAGAATGGGAGAAACTCCACAAATACAGGTGTGCCAAGCTTGTAGCGTCATACCCAAGAAGACTTGAGGCTGTAATCGCTGCCAAAGGTGCTTCAACAAAGTACTGAGTAAAGGGTCTGAATACTTATGTAAATGTTATATTTCAGTTTATTTTTAATTAATTTGCAAACATTTCTAAAAACTAGTTTTTGCTTTGTCATTATGGGGTATTGTGTGTAGATTGATGAGGGGGAAAAAAACAATTAATTCCATTTTAGAATAAGGCTGTAATGAAACAAAGTGGAAAAAGTCAAGGGGTCTGAATACTTTCTGAATACACTGTGTCTTAAGTGACTGCGTTTTCATGAATTTCATTATGTCATCTTGAAGTCCAGTCAAAAACAGTATGGGACTTTATACGGAAGTGGAGATGGAACTAGACATGACTTTCCCAGTGGATAACAAACCACGGTCGTGTCCAGTTGGCATGAAATAGAAGAAAAGAAAACACTGAACCAGATACCAGTCCCTTTAGGATTCTGCGATTATTATGCGAGGGGTTTCACATTTGACCAATCACCGCACTATTACTGCATAAAACAGTCAAATCACTGCAATATTACCACATAAAACTGTATGATCACCGCACTACAAAAAGAGTGCTCACAATTTTTACCAATTGCTACACTTTTAAAGTATAAAATGGTTAAATCAAGCCACACGTCAACAAACCTTTCCCCCTGTTTTCATGACAAAGTCAGTGCATTTTTGTGACAAATTGGACAAAATCATCGCAAATTGAGAAGGGAAAGGGGATACCTAGTCAGTTGTACAACTGAATGCATTCAATTGAAATGTGTCTTCCGCATTTAACCCAACCCCTCTGAATCTAAAACCAAAAAACGCTGCAAAGGGGGACTGAGATACGATAGGATATTGTCTCACAAAGGAAACACCTGTTTTTATTTTCTGTCACAAAATATTTGTACACGTTTTTTTATGGAGTGCCCTAATGAACACAACGCAGAGTTCATTCAGTAAAGAATGGTTCTGGCGTTTTTTCTTTAGTGTACAAATACAAAGGTTTTGGACTGGTTTTCCCTCAATAGCCAAATCACCTCTCATAGCCATTCCCTGCTAAAACATTACTCTTATTTTTTACAAAGTATTGCCGAGTCAAGAATTTGAAATTGATAAATTAGCAAATGCTCTCTGTGAGAAAAAAATATGAAACGTTCTTCTCATGTAAATTGATGGTAAAAGGGTGGAAAATGTGTGAATAACAAGAGTGTATGTCTGTTTCTGCCTAGGATTGGGATACCCTAACCAGCCTGGGTTCTCAGACTTCCCAAATTCCCCTGGCACCCCTAATGTTGGGGAGTTCTCCTCGGGACCACCCCCCCTCTCCTACCAGGCTGATTTGCCAAGTGGACTCCTCACTCCAGACAAACCTATCGGACATCCCATGTCATCCCAGGTACTAACCTCTACCCTGCTGAGTGCTTTGTTCTTCCTGTTCTCAATAGTCTGGAGTCTTGATTAACGAATCCACCGCACCTCTAAAATAATAATGTTTGTGCTCTTACGTATTATGGTTCACTTTTCTTGTAGCCAGCTGTCGTTTAGAGACCGAACTGTGGAGTGTTGTTGTAGACCTGGTCTTTCTTTCTTTTGTATGTGCATCCTGGTTGACTAATCAGTGTTGATGAGACATGTCGTTATGATAAGTTATCCATAAAATTCATAATGTAATCTGAATGAATTAACCATATAAAGTTGAAGTTCAACTATAAAAAATATCCCAAGGTTAAGTGTGGGTTAAGATGGTTTCATATATTGCCTTGTTCTCTTGGCCGTTCTACAAATCACAGGTGCCATCAAAGTCATAAAGTATGTAATGAATTGATGATGATTTCTAATTGAAAGCAGCATGACACTTTTGAATAGTAGTTGAATTTGAGTTGAATTGGCATGTTATTTTTTTTAAAATGTTTTCCTTCTAACACTCGGAACCATGATAGACTTCGATGTGGCACTGACGTGTATTACAGGAGCAAATAATCCTGTCACCTTCTTTTCAACTCAGATTCCCCATTTGGGCCGCATGGACTCCTCCCACAGTTCTCTCCAGCATCAACAGCATCAGCAGCATCAAGGCCTCCACGGCAACTCGCACCTCGGGGGACCAGGGGCACCCATGATGCAGCCTCGCAATCCCTCCCAAAACACCAGACTACACACAGAAAGCTCCTTTGGGTTAGGGGGTCCCGCTTGCTCAGAGGTGCCAGAGCCTTCCTTGGATGTGAGTAGCAACATTTTAATTCACTTCATTCACTCACTTCATGAACTAGCTACTCAGTGCATTGCTACACGACATTTACATTCACACTGTACACAATGGCTGTATCGCATTAGTGGAATCCAAGACTGTTTTCAGGGCAGGTCTGCTGGTTTTGACTAGCATAAGTTACTTTTCTGTAGCAGGTTAGGAGAATTAGGTTAAGGTTAGGAAACGGGTTAGGTAAAATGTTAAAATTGTCCCAAACGTGGGGCCTCCCGAGTGGCGCAGCGGTCTAAGTTACTGCAGTGCTTGAGGCGTCACTACAGATCCAGGTTCGATCCCGGGCTGTGTCTCAGCCGGCCACGACCGTGAGACCCATGAGGCGACGCACAAATGGCCCAGCGTTGTCTGGGTTGGGGGAGGGTTTGGCCGGCCGGGATGTCCTTGTCCCATCTCGCTCTAGCGACTCCTGTGGCAGGCCGGGCGGGCGCATGCACGCTGACACGGTCGCCAGTTGTACGGTGTTTCCTCTGACACATTGGTGTGGCTGGCTTCCGGGTTAAGCGAGCAGTGTGTCAAGAGGCTGTGAAGCTTGGCAGGGTTGTGTTTCGGAAGACGCATGGCTCTCGACCTTCGCCTCTCCCGAGTCTGTACGGGAGTTGCAGTGATGGGACAAGACTGTAACTACCAATTGGATATCACGAAATTGGGGAGAAAAAGGTAAAATAAAATGTTGATCTTGTCTCATTGCTGCAACTCCCCAACGGGCTCGGGAGGTGACGGTCGAGTCATGCGTCCTCAGAAACATGACCCGCCAAACCGCGCTTCTCAACACCCGCCCGCTTAACCCGGAAGCCAGCCGCACCAATGTGTCGGAGGAAACACTGTTCAACTGACGACCGAGATCAGCCTGCAGGATGCCAGCCTGCCACAAGGAGTCGCTAGAGCGCGATGAGCCAAGTAAAGTCCCCCTGGCCAAACCCTTCCCTAACCCGGACGACGCTGGGCCAATTGTGCGCCGCCCTATGGGACTCCCAATCACGGCCGGTTGTGATACAGCCCGGGATTGAACCCGGGTCTGTAATGACGCCTCTAGCACTGCGATGTAGTGCCTTAAACTGCTGCGACACCCGGGAGGTAACTCAAACATATCTAGCTACAACCAGGCCTGTCCTGAGAACAGTCTTGGTTTCCACTAATGCAGAGCTGCTACGCAATGGCCCTCATTCATCAACATGTTCATAAATAGGGCAACATTTTCATAGTGCCAGATTGAGGTTTATGGTAAGTTTTGAACTTTTCACAATGCTTTTGCACTACGTAATGTGTATTATGTTGTTGAGGAAAAATAGTTTGAGGAATCAGGCAGAACTCATTTATTAGCAATAACAGATTTATTCAAGCAATTGGAAGGAAGATCACTCTCAGGATGAACCTGGAAAGTAACTTCCAGGATCTACTGGAAAGGAATTCTCAGTATATACCGGAAAGGATCTCAAAGATTTTACATTCACAGTCTTTATATACTTCATCTACACAAAGAGCTGCTTAACCCTCCTAGGGGGAGGCAAGCTTACATGAGAGATAAGGGGTACTTAGCTCTACTCCCTTAAAGCATACAAAAAATAAAAGCTAGTTCTCACAGCCTATGTGTCTAAGATAGGGGAGTGATAAGATCTTTAGAGCCTAAACAGACAGGAGAAGAATTCAGCCTGGATGGCTTTTAGTGTCCCAGAGATAAGGCCGAATAACAAATCACTCCTTTGTAGGGTGTATGAAGAGGTTAATGGACAGCTGTGGAAAATTACCAGTGACACTGGAAAATTACCATTGACTGTAACAAACCATTTTGCACCCACAATAGCATTAGACTGTAATAAAACAATTTTGCGCCAACAATGTGTAATAAACATAATGTGTGGATTTGATCTTATGAAAAACCCATTTGCAAAACCAACACAAGTTTAATGTTTGACTTCTACAAGCAGGGCTCTAAAGTGCGACCATTTTGATCGCATATGCTCCTAAATATTTTTCTGTGTGACCTGACGTTTAATTTTGGGAGCACCAGTGCGACCAGGATAAAAAATCATCCAGATAATAATTGTTGTAATGATAGGCTTCACTGTGCAGGTGTTTCCGAGTGCCCTGATGCATCAGTCATTTCTTGCAACTTTCTGAAGACGTAACGGCATGGGAATGCCTGTGTCTACCATTTTGTGTACCAGTTAGCGATGCCGAAACAGTAATTTCTAAAGGCTTTCCCATAAAACTTTTCCAAATTAAATGTTAACTGCAAAGTAGGCTTACCTGGCTGAATATGATGATATGATGATTTATCAATCGGGTGGTCTTTTGTTTTGCAAACTCTGCTGTTGCAAATTATTACACTGAACAAAAATATAAACGCAACATGTAAAGTGTTGGTTCCATGTTTCATGAGCTGAAATATAAGATCCCAGAAATGTGCACAAAAAGCGTATTTCTCAAAAATTTGGTGCACACATTTGTTTACATCCCTGTTAGTGAGCATTTCTCCCTTGCCAAGATAATCCATCCACGTGACAGGTGTGGCATATCAAGAAGCTGATTAAACAACATGATCATTAAATAGGTGCACCTTGTGCTGGGGACACTAAAAGGCCCTCTGTGTCCAGTTTTGTCACACAACACAATGCCACAGATGTCTCAAGTTTTGAGGCAGCGTGCAATTGGCTTGCTGACTGCAGGAATGTCCACCAGAGATTTTTCCAGAAAATGTAATGTTCATTTCTCTACCATAAGCCGTCGTTTCAGAGATTTTGGCAGTACGTCGAACCGGCCTCACAACCACAGACCACGTGTAGCCATGCCAGTCCAGGACCTCCACATCCAGCTTCTTCACCTGTGGGATCGTCTGAGACCAGCCACCCGGACAGCTGATAAAACTGTGGGTTTGCACAACCGAAGAATTTCTGCACAAACTGTCAGAAACCGTCTCAGGGTAGCTCATCTGCGTGCTCGTTGTCCTCACCGGGGTATTGACCTGACTGCAGTTCGGCGTCGTAACTGACTTCAGTGGGCAAAGGCTCACCTTTGATGGCCACTGGCATGCTGGAGAAGTGTGCTCTTCACGGCTGAATCCCGGTTTCAACTGTACCGGGCAGATGGCAGACGTATGGTGTCGTATGGGTGAGTGGTTTGCTGATGTCAATGTTGTGAACAGAGTGCCCCATGGTGGGGTTATGGTATGGTATGGGCAGGCATAAGCTACAGACAACGAACACAATTGCATTTTATCGATGGCAATTTGAATGCACAGAGATACCGTGACAAGATCCTGAGGCCCATTGTCATGCCATTCATCCGCCGCCTTCACCTCATGTTTCAGCATGATAATGCACGGCCCCATGTCGAAGGATCTGTACACAATTCCTGGAAGCTGAAAATGTCCCAGATCTTCCATGGCCTGCATACTCACCAGACATGTCACCCATAGAGCAGTTTGGGATGCTCTGGATCGACGTGTACGACAGCGCCCCTACCTTTTAAAAAAGTTATCTGTAACCAACAGATGCATAATCGATATTCCCAGTCATGTGAAATTAATAAATTAGGGCCTAATGAATTTATTTAAATTAACTGATTTCCTTATATGCATGTACAGAAACACCACTAGCCAAACACCAGTCTCTTGAGGTGCGCAATTGAAATTAAAAGGCAACAATACCCTACAAAATATGTTTTATTTTGTTCCCCAGACCTCAAAAGTATAAGCGTTGTTGTGGACTTAGAACATGCAATTTTGTTGGTTTTCTATTTTTTTAAAGTGTGATTTTGAGAGAAAAACTGGGGGAAATCTGAAACCTGGAAAAACAAAACAGAGAAGAAAATAAATCAGATCTACCTGCCACAGTGGTTGGTGGACCAAAAAGTTCATTTTTAGGCACTGTTCATAAACCATGTCGCGGATTATTCCAAAACCACTCACAGGTATTTGTTTACACCTTGTTCAGTCATGTTACCTCATTAGCTAGCTAGCTAGCTAACAACCTGGTGACTTTACCGGTACATCTAAACAGAAAGAAAGGAAAAGGCATAGCTTCTTTAGAAGATCAATGATCATAGCAATGAATGAATGACTGATCTCTTGCATCTCACAAACCTGACGGTCTTAAAAATACTTTCAATGTAATGCATCTCAATAGGTAGTGCTTTTACACAATGTAGAAACCTAATATTCCACAAATGACTTTGTAATTTCAATGACAGGTTTTTGTATCAATATTTTAGCTTTTTATAACAAACAAATGTCTTTACAGGGTTAAATATTCATTTCTAGAGCACAACATGTGCTTCAAAAGTAGCTAGAATTCATATAGGCCCAATATGCTATATCTCAATCAATTAAAACAAATATATTCTGGTGCTCCTAGATTTTATGTTGTGCTCCTAACACCAGTGCTACCAATGAAATAAGTTAATTTAGAGCAATGTGCATACGAGTGGTCTCGGACCAATTTACATTTACGTTATCCAGAGCGACTTACAGTAGTGAGTGCATACATTTTCATACAGATCTGAGCTACAAAAAAAATCAGAGCTACAAAAAAATGTGCAAGACAATGGCTAATGCCAATGATGACTATATTTGTGCTGTGAATGATTGATTGATGAGCGAGGCACAATGTGTTCATAAGCACAGTACCTGTTGTTGTACATAATCTTTAGGGATTCTCATTTCTCTTTCTCCTCTGCAGTTACTTCCTGAATTGACAAATCCAGATGAGCTGCTGTCTTACCTTGGCCCCCCCGATTTACCGAGCAACAGCAATGATGACCTACTCTCCCTCTTTGAGAACAACTGAGTCCTGGTGCTCCTCTCCAGTCTCCCATGGTTCCCTGCAACACATAAACTACAAACGAGAAGTATCCCACCTACAATGTGGGTATTAAAAATACTTCCTGTAATATAAGAGCTCCCCTTGAGCCGAAAATGGCCGTCAGTGGTGGGGGTGTCGAGAGGACTTTTGAATATGCGGAAAATCTTTGATGTCCTTTGTCTGACTATAAACTATGGTAATATTTTGTTTTATATCTGTAAACAATTCCCGCATCCATTCCCTTGTTACTACCTTTCTTGCCCAAGGATCCAATTTTATTTAAATGCTTCCTTACTAGAATCACATTTATTGTATGTCATTCAGAAGGGATTATAAATGTATGTACATTTTCTTAGTCAATGCAGTTGTGATGCAAACTTATGTCCAACTGAATTTGGTGAGTTTGAAATGTCCATCAAAGTATGATTAAATAACACCTTTTTTAATTTACAATAATAAATTGAAGATTAATACATTGAGGGGATGCCCTATGTGTTTCAAAGATAAACGAGAAAATATGTATTTTCACTGCCTTTTACTGTGATTTATCAATGCATTCATTCCAAGCTATGATCATTTAGCACACTGGCACACAAACAATTACTCAGTCTTTTTCTATTCTAAATTAACAGATTTTTATGCATAAATGTTTGACATTATATTCATTACAATGGTTAACAACCTGGAAGGCAAATGGAATAAATGGCAATCTGTAAGGCTTTGTGAGACTCAATTATTTGGAGCAGCTATGGAGCCAGATCCATACCTTTATGGCTACATGTAAATGCATGTCTCTAGCTAAATCAAAGATATCTACAGCAACCAGATGTAGTCCCCTATTCCATTTTTTTATGTGAATTCATATGCAAACTACTGGTTCTTACTGATCCAGATAAACTTTTATTTTAGCCTACTTTATATTCTTCCCACACTAACGCTTTGTATGCCTGCTCTTTGCAGAATGACAGAAACATTTACTACACAGGGATGGGCAACTGGCGGCCCTTTTGTAGGCCCCCGGATCAATTATTATAAAACATTTTTGGAACTCATTCGGGGTCCCATTACTGTCGAGAGTTAGAATAGTAGAATATACTAGGTGCAATTTCGTCATTTGGTTGTGCGTCAGCAGATTTTCTCTTGTTATGTCAGTCACTGACAGTCACTTAATTAGCCCATGTCAGCTAAAATTATTTAGATTGTAAGTTCGTCTAGCCAACTATCTAAACTTGTAGTAATCATGGTCCAATTACAGACCGGGGGGCCTCCATTCATTTTGTTAGTCACTCTCACTCAGATATCGTATTAAAAACTGCAGACATTTCTCTTCATCCCATGGCAAAATGAGAAGAATTGCATTAAGTTAGCTAAATTGCTAAATCTTCTCTCCGCCCCATGGCAAAATGTATAGAATTGCAGCAAACTTGCTTTAAAACTGCAACATTTTCTCTTCGCTCCGTGGCAAAATGTGTAGAATTGCAGGAAATTAACTCTAAAACGTATATTTTTTCTCTCCGCTGTCAAAAGCGGGGCCTCTAAAATGTTTTGCTGGCAAGGTGGGTGCCCCCCAACAAAATTTCAATTAGAGCCCACAAAAGGCTAGGGCTGGCTCTGACTTCATTTAAAATCAAATCACATTTTATTTGTCCATGTGCTGAATACAGAATACAACCTTACCGTGAAATGCTTACTTACAAGCCCTTAACCAACAATGCAGTTTTAAGAAAAATAAGAGTTTACTAAATAAAGTAAAATACACAATAAAATAACAATAACAAGACTATATACAGGGGGTACCGGTACCGAGTCAATGTGCGGGGGGTACAGGAAGTTGAGGTAATTTGTACGTGTAGGTAGGGGTATAGTGACAATGCATAGATAATAAACGGCGAGTAGCAGCAGCGTAAAAAAAGGGGCGGTCAATGCAAAAAAGTCTGGGTAGCCATTTGATGAACTGTTTAGCAGTCTTATGGCTTGGGGGTAGAAGCTGTTAAGGAGCCTCTTGGACCTAGACTTGGCACTCTGGTACCACTTGCCGTGCGGTAGCAGAGAGAACAGTCTATGACTAGAGTGGCTGGAATCTTTGACAATTTTTAGGGCCTTCCTCTGACACCGCCTGGTATAGAGGTCCTGGATGGCAGGAAGCTTGGCCCCAGTGATGTACTGGGCCGTACGCACTACCCTCTGTAGCGCCTTGCGATCGGATGCCGAGCAGTTGCCATACCAGGCGGTGATGCAACCAGTCAGGATGCTCTCGATGGTGCAGGTGTATAACTTTTTGAGGATCTGAGGACCCATGCCAAATATTCTCAGTCTCCTGAGGGGGAATACAGTGAGGGAAAAAAGTATTTGATCCCCTGCTGATTTTGTACGTTTGCCCACTGACAAAGACATGATCAGTCTATAATTTTTATGGTAGGTTTATTTGAACAGTGAGAGACAGAATAACAAAAAAAAATCCAGAAAAACGCATGTCAAAAATGTTATACATTGATTTGCATTTTAATGAGGGAAATAAGTATTTGACCCCTCTGCAAAACAAGACTTAGTACTTGGTGGCAAAACCCTTGTTGGCAATCACAGAGGTCAGATGTTTCTTGTAGTTGGCCACCAGGTTTGCACACATCTCAGGAGGGATTTTGTCCCACTCCTCTTTGCAGATCTTCTCCAAGTCATTAAGGTTTCGAGGCTGACGTTTGGCAACTCGAACCTTCAGCTCCCTCCACAGATTTTCTATGGGATTAAGGTCTGGAGACTGGCTAGGCCACTCCAGGACCTTAATGTGCTTCTTCTTGAGCCACTCCTTTGTTGCCTTGGCTGTGTGTTTTGGGACATTGTCATGCTGGAAAATTCATCCACGACCCATTTTCAATGCCCTGGCTGAGGGAAGGAGGTTCTCACCCAAGATTTGACGGTACATGGCCCCGTCCATCGTCCCTTTGATGCAAAGTTGTCCTGTCCCCTTAGCAGAAAAACACCCCCAAAGCATAATATTTCCACCTCAATGTTTGACGGTGCGGATGGTGTTCTTGGGGTCATAGGCAGCATTCCTCCTCCTCCAAACACGGCGAGTTGAGTTGATGCCAAAGAGCTCGATTTTGGTCTCAACTGACCACAACACTTTCACCCAGTTCTCCTCTGAATCATTCAGACGTTCATTGGCAAACTTCAGACGGGCCTGTATATGTGCTTTCTTGAGCAGGGGGACCTTGCGGGCGCTGCAGGATTTCAGTCCTTCACGGCGTAGTGTGTGACCAATTGTTTTCTTGGGGACTATGGTCCCAGCTGCCTTGAGATCATTGACAAGATCCTCCCGTGTAGTTCTGGGCTGATTCCTCACCGTTCTCATGATCATTGCAACTCCACGAGGTGAGATCTTGCATGGAGCCCCAGGCTGAGGGAGATTGACAGTTATTTTGTGTTTTTTCCATTTGCGAATAATCGCACCAACTGTTGTCACCTTCTCACCAAGCTGCTTGGCGATGGTCTTGTAGCCCATTCCAGCCTTGTGTAGGTCTACAATCTTGTCCCTGACATCCTTGGAGAGCTCTTTGGTCTTGGCCATGGTGGAGAATTTGGAATCTGATTGATTGCTTCTGTGGACAGGTGTCTTTTATACAGGTAACAAGCTGAGATTAGGAGCACTCCCTTTAAGAGTGTGCGCCTAATCTCAGCTCGTTACCTGTATAAAAGACACCTGGGAGCCAGAAATATTTGATTGAGAGGGGGTCAAATACTTATTTCCCTCATTAAAATGCAAATCAATTCATAAAATTTTTGACATGCGTTTTTCTGGATTTTTTTTGTTGTTATTCTGTCTCTCACTGTTCAAATAAACCTACCATTAAAATTATAGACTGATCATTTCTTTGTCAGTGGGCAAACGTACAAAATCATCAGGGGATCAAATACTTTTTTCCCTCACTGTAGGCATTGTCGTGCCCTCTTCATGACTCTCTTGGTGTGTTTGGACCATGATAGTTTGTTGGTGATGTGGACACCAAGGAACTTAAAGCTCTCGACCTGCTCCACTACAGCCCTGTCGAAGTGAATGGGGGTGTGCTCAGCCCTCCTTTTCCTGTAGTCCACTATCAGCTTCTTTGTCTTGATCATGTAGAAGGAGAGGTTGTTGTCCTGGCACCACACTGCCAGGTCTCTGACCTCCTCCCTATAGGCTGTCTCATCGTTGTCGGTGATCATGCCTACCACCGTTGTGTCGTCAGCAAACTTAATGATGGTGTTGGAGTCGTGCTTGGCCACACAGTCGTGGGTGAACAAGGAGTACAGGAGGGGACTAAGCACGCACCCCTGAGGGGCCCCTGTGTTGAGGATCAGCGTGGCAGATGTGTTGTTGCCTACCCTTACCACCTGGGGGTGCCCGGTCAGGAAGTCCAGGATCCAGTTGCAGAGGTAGGTGTTTTGTCCCAGGGTTCTTAGCTTAGTGATGAGCTTTGAGGGCACCATGGTGTTGAATGCTGAGCTGTAGTCAATGAACACTATTCTCACGTAGGTGTTTCTCTTTTGTCCAGGTGGGAAAGGGCAATGTGGAGTGCAATAGATATTGCGTCATCTGTGGATCTGTTGGGGCGGAATGTGAGTTGGAGTGGCTCTAGGGTTTCTGGGATGATGTGAGCCAATGACCAGCCTTTCAAAGCACTTCATGGCAACAGACGTGAGTGCTACAGGTCGGTAGTCATTTAGGCAGGTTACCTTGATGTTCTTGGCCACAGGGACTATGGTGGTCTGCTTGAAACATGTAGGTATTAGACTCGGTCAGGGACAGGTTGAAAATGTCAGTGAAGACACTTGCCAGTTGGTCAGCGCATGCTCTGAGCACACGTCCTGGTAATCCGTCTGGCCCTGCGGCCTTGTGAATGTTGACCTGTTTAAATGTCTTACTCACATTGTTAACGGAGAGCATGATCACAGCTGGTGATCTCATGCATGCTTCAGGGTTGCTTGCCTGGAAGCGCGCATAGAAGTCATTTAGCTCATCTGGTAAGCTTGTGTCACTGGGCAGTTAGTCAACAACGTTCTAGATAACATGAAAACAGCCTAACCAAGTCTGCTAGGGCGAGTAAAATGGTCAGAGTGAGGTGTTGTCTCATTTGTGTCTGGAAGTACCTAGCAAGCTAGCCAACTTAAGCCAGTTAGCTTGGGTGCTTGACTGCCGTTGTGAGGTCAGAAAGCTCGGATCAACCCTATTCCTAGGCCAGAGCATCCAGTGTGCGTTCTGAACACTCAGAGAGCGAAATGAACGGACAATCTGACAACGCTCTGAATTTATGAATGCCCAGAGTGCACTCTGAGCGCACTCTGGCACTCCAGAGTGAACTTAACGAACACACCCTTGAGAAGGGCGCTCCTCCCTCCCCGCTTTCGCCCGATGAAATGACATTGCCCGGTTCAACATTTTACATTTACATTTTAGTCATTTAGCAGACGCTCTTATCCAGAGCGACTTACAGTTAGTGAATACATTTTTTTTTTTATTTTATTTTTATTTTTTTATACTGGCCCCCCGTGGGAATCGAACCCGCAACCCTGGCGTTGCAAACGCCATGCTCTATCAACTGAGCTACATCCCTGCCGGCCATTCCCTCCCCTACCCTGGACGACGCTGGGGCCAATTGTGCGCCCGCCCATTAGTCTCCTGGTCGCGGCCGGCTGCGACAGAGCCTGATTCGAACCAGGATCTCTAGTGACACAGTTAGCA